AACGGAGGGAAAAGTGCTGACAAACTGGTACATATAATCATCATATTTTCACATAAGAACTATGTCTTTATTTGCATGTTTTAAACACTACTGAATGTCATTTAAGCAATGTAACATTTAGGCTCGAAAATTAGTTTCAAGCAAACTTACTGCCATCTTCGCACATGTGATTGAATACAACATCTACATAAATATTGATGTTTACAGCGTTGCATCGATTTACCATATCAATGAATTCAGCTCGATCACCACTTCTACTAACCATTGAATAACTCACAGGCTGGTAGCGTTCCCACCATGGTCGCCATTGCTCTTCTGTTACAACACGATGTTCATTGGCAGGGGATACCTGTACACCACCTAACCAATATGGTGCTAAGAACCTGAAAATATGATCCGATACCATCTATTATGAGAAGTAATGTCACAAACGTTTTAATTGTTTCGAGATTTTTTTCCAAGGAAATGATAGACAATGTCAGCAACAGTCTTGTATTGTCACGTGAAAACCTTGAGTGAAATGTATTTGTGGATTCAAAACGACATGTGATACAGGGTGTCATAATGCAATTATAAATGAATTGTTATTATTGTACAATTTATTTTCTATTTTTTGGTAATTTGTATACTATGAACCACAAAATTAGGTTTAATTGGAAAAAATCACGTCAATTGTTACAATTTTCTGTCCATTCACATTCTAGCATGTTGCATTAATTGGCGACTGTGACTGTCGACTACAGTTAATGTCTATTGATTGAGTTTATGGCATATCGTTTGATGCACGAGGTATAAAGTTTATTTGACAGTAAGTACAGGAAATGGCTGCTAAAAAATCGGATAACCAGAGATAACTGCAATATCATATATACTGAATACATGACTTGAGGATCTTTTTACAGTTCAAATCAGAAAAACATAATAATGTATAGTGACATGCAGTGTTTTGATGTCATTATTAGAAGTAAATATGTGTTTAACCAATCAACGCCCGATAACGATACACGCATTTGAAACATTATTATTTAAGGTTATTTTTTTTCCTATATAAATCAGTCAGTGAGTTTAGAGGTAAAGGTCTAGTTAAAAGGTATCTGAAGTTTATGAATTCGGGTGGATTTCTAAGTCGAAGTTATATGTCGAGGATCTTTTGTTGTTGCCTGCTGTTAAGGAGAACTGCATTATAATGTAGTTGCGAAATGTGGAGGAAGACGGGGAATTTTGGTTGTGAAAAACATAAGATCACATGATGTCTGACTAGTATGGGTTTATTAGACTGGATGCGTGAATAATTTATTCAATTTTGTTGGTTGATCATCTAGAGAGCAAATTGTACAAAAAGGCCAAGTAGTAAACCATGCGCAACTCCATATGTCAAATAGCCTTGTCAAAAATAACAAAGATATATTTAAATATATTTTAAACACAAGTTACTCACTTTTCGCATTCTGAAGCTACATCGGACCATTTCCACTCAAATAAATGGACGATGGACTGACGGCCATCTTTCATATGATGGTCCCACTGGCAATATGCCCCAGCGGTTAACAGCAGCACATAAAACAATGAATGTGTCATCTAGTAAAAACAACAAAAAATAAAAGATAAAGCTTGAAATACGTAAACATAATATACATATAAAAAGAAGTGGTTTCGTCCAACATACCGTCAAGCTACAGTGTGTATAACACACGCGAGGGCCATCTGACGCATGCTAATAATTAAATAATAATGGAGACTGCGCGTGACAATGTTTTAATCGCGTACCAGCACTTCAAGCACGGAAGGTGACGGAATTAGATAGAAGCGTCTCACCGGTTCAAATAATAATAGGATAAGGGTGATTGATGTACACGGCAATGCTTTGAATGACAATGCCGACGAGAACAACATGTGCGCCGGCAATTCAAATGTCAATGACGACAAAAACGAAATGAGTGACAATGTTTTAAATGTAATGACGACATTAATGAAATTTAAAACAATGCATCTGATCCTAGTACGAGCATACCTGATGTAAATATTCAAATGTCAACTGATGTTAAATCGATAAATGTCATAATGTAAATGATGTGGAGGTGGTACAAACCCACCCTATTTTTACCAGGAGTGTCGAGTGATCCATTCGACACAATACAGACTTCTATTCCTATGGATCTGCCCGGGGACAGGGATGATGCGAAGTCGATTGTATACGACTGCTCTGAACTGTCTACTGAGAACTGTTTACAGAGGCCAGAGGCCATGGAAATTACTGTTCCGAGTGAGAAAGAAAAACTGCTTTCTCGCGATGGTTTAAATATCTTTTTGGTTGAATCCATTGATTCAAGAAAAACCGTCGTTACCTGTTTTTGTCCCGACTTTAGGTTGTGGTCGCGCTCTCTCATCAATCATCAAGCTAAATATTCGATGTTACATACATGAAGCGAACTGTGGCGGTTATGTGGCTAAGACGGGGGACACGTGACGGGTGTATGGAAAACGAAGACCCTGGAAAACGAAGACCCTGGAAAACGAAGACCCGGGAAAACGAAGACCATGGAAAACGAAGACCCTGGAAAACGAAGACCATGGAAAACGAAGACCCTGGAATGTTCCTATGATGCCAATGATACACGAATTCGCCCAATATCGGGCATTTACTTTCATTGTGTGCTAACTTCCCGTACGAAATTCTTCATAATAAATTAAACTAACTACTTTTATAATTGTGAAATTACAACGTATGGAAAACGAAGACCATGGAAAACGAAGACTCTGGAAAACGAAGACCCTGGAAAACGAAGACCCTGGAAAACGAAGACCCCGAAATGTTCCAATGACGCCAATGATACACGAATTCGCCCAATATCGGGCATTTACTTTCATTGTGAACTCGTTAACTAACTTCCCATACGAATTTCATTGCGGATTCTTCATAATACATTATTTTCATACACATTTGCGGATATAATCATATAAAACCCAGTAGTATGCCTAATTTCATCTTGGTTTCGTTTAATATATAGCGGTGTCTGAACGAACCGACCCCGTTTTGATGTTCAAAGTATTAACAACACTGTGTGAAATTTTAGAACTATCCCACATGCGGTTCAGACGCTATTTCAAATTAAAGTTTCAAAAAAGTGCTTCAAAAGAAACGGAGATAATGGCCGGTTTGGATAATCGGCACGTCGTTGTGGGAACATGCCAAATTGCGGTCACTTTCACAGTCGCTGTTACAATATTTACCAGCACAAATGATAACTATGACATTATGAAGAATAACTGACAAATTAGATAAATGTACGGATAATATGAGAATAGTCGCACTTGAAAGTGCGTTCCGAGAAGTATCATTCAGCGGCACTCTGAATGTTCCCGTAATCAATGCATGAACAAACAGGGGGCGGTACTTGCATAAATTATATGTTGTGCGAAAGTGACCTCGAAGCCAGGGTACAACGCATTTACATTCTCATCCTTAATATCGAAGACACTGCTCCAAATCGGAAAATTTATTAGGTTATTTATATTACAACTAGTGTTACAAAACCGCAGTAAACTGTGCACAAAATCACAACACGCGACCCCTACCACCGGAAATAGTACTGTTATGAAACTTTTGACTCTCATGTAAATTACATATTATCTGTCAATCAGGAACCGCTAAGTGGCGTTAATATGCAAATCATCCCTCAAACATAAACAAAACGTAAACAGCGCTTCATAATAATACTAGTACTAGTAGTTTAACTGTGTTTTAAAGTTGGTTTTAATGATTATTTTTAACAAAATATAGATATGAAACCCATCGTACAGGAAAGCCAAAAAAAGCAAAAACGGTCAAAAATGAGAAAAAAACTGCATCTTATCCTTAAATGTCTTTGGTTGTCTGTATGAAATTGTAATCTATAAATAAAGTGCGTGATTAAACTTTGTAACTATACATGCGAATATATTCAAATTGCAAGTACTTCTAATAAGCACCAAATACCAGTATACGTATTGGAACCCGGAAGGTATTTCTATTGTCTTCGAGGGGCTACAATTGAATTACATCCTCGTGTTGGATTATATACGTTTGTAGTGAAATTAAGTATATCACGTTATTGAACGAGTTCGCAATTAAATTAAGTACATCACGCTATTATATGAGTTCGCAGTAGAATCATGCATGTCGTTATTATACGAGTACGTAAATAAATCATTACGTACTCACCATAATTAAATGAGGTCGGGATGGAATTGCAAATTCAATCATGTGTCAGTAAAGTTAACTTCGTAGTTCCATTGGACACGTTTTAATCAGTAACGTGACAATATGCATTTTTATTCTGACATAATTTAATCATGCCATTTAATGACGATAACCAATAGCGACGTAATTATGGGTTTCCTGTGGTACTTCTACTCAGCTGGAGGCTGTTCTTCAGGGAACAAGTTCTTAAAATGCTCCCTCATACTTGGCGTCAGCCGTTTCAGAAGAACCATGACAACTCTCCAGTGGATCAGTGCTGCTCGGTGGGCGAAATGTATATCTAGGTGGGATCAGCCAACCATACTCTCTGCAAATGTTGTTCATCTTCCGCACATGCGTGGGGTCACATTCCAGTTATCAGCAAATTCTCTATGGAAGTAATTAACCACCCAGATATATATCCTTTCCCACCTTGCTTCTCTTCCCAAGGCGAGAGATCCCAATGTGGTTATTGCAAAAGCAACTTTCCTCTCAGGGGATTCGGATTTCTCCCACAATACCACTGGGATGTGTTCTTTAAAACAATGCACTTTTACGGATCTTGTCCAAACCCTACATCCCGGGAGTAGGCACGGGGAAGTTCTCTCCATGGTTCTCCCTGGCTGTGGTGGTGCAGGAACACACTTTGGGATCAACTTCATGTTCTGCTCTTCAGGACGAGTTAGCGTCACTATGCGAGTTGGCAGTGACGTCGTTGTAGAACCAGAAGCCTCACCTGCTGGTAATGCTGGCAGTGATGATGGGTCTTTTTCATCTACAGTAACCTTGATGTTGCCACCCAACAAATGTGCTCTTATCCTCCTTTCCCTGATGTTTCCTGCCTCAGAATTCCCAGTTTCCTGGGATACTCTGCTTTTTCCTCTTTCTAATCTAGATTTCTTTACTTGGGGTTCCGGTCTTCGTCCCTCTTTCTTAGATTTCCCAATTTCTTGTGACTCTCTTCTCTTCACTGGCTCCACCCTAGATTTTTTCCAATTAGGCTCAGAGGTAGAGGGACTCCCGATTGCTCGGGATATCCATCTCTCTCTTCTGCCGGACATCCTTCATTTTTCCATCCTGCTGTGTGGCCACCTCGGCTGCATTTTCCCTCCTGACTTCAAGATCTTTGTCAGTCTTTAAACGGACATCCCTACACAAGCCAGCCGGGGTTTCCACACACCTAAGAGCCTTCTTCTGCGGCACCGTGTTGAATCTCGGGTTTTGGTGAGGAGTATTCTCTATAATCCAACTTCTGCTAAACAGTTGTAGAGCTTCCTTGTGCATTTCTCGCACCCATCCCCAGCTGCTATATCTCACCGCCACCCGGTATTGGTCTACTAGTGCCGCTTTCAGATTATTTTCGCTGACTCCTTTGCATAGTGCCAGGTTTAGAATTACCCTGAATGGATGTAGTCAAATTTCCGAAAGAATATTCGAATACTAGTTGGGACATAGACCTTAGAATATGTATTTTAAGGTATATGGTTGGGGTAATATGAATTGAATACTTAGTATTCATATGATCTTTTGAAAAATTAGCTAAACAGTTCACAACCACGATTTGGTGAATTGGCGAATTTTCAACGAAGACATCGGCTCCGGTCATGAGCAGAGTTTGCTGTGTCATGAAGTCAACATTTTACAATGTTGAACACTACTTTTCGTTCTTGACATTGTGAAATAATTTCGTTTTTGGGGAGAAAAAAACCCCGAAAAAAATGATTTTGGCAAGATAATTCAGAAATTGATATTAGGAATAATTCATAACGAAATATATTCCATATGCACCCATAAATTATCATAATTACTGATTACACATGAATATTACAGAAAAGGAGATAATTTGCTATATTCTTGTTTGCACGTCATGTTCACAAAATCGCAGACAATTTTTTGTAAGGGGTGCCCTTTGAAATGGCAAATTTTCTGGATGCCTTAGTCAAAAATTCCCACAAATACAGAATGAAAATACTTCAAAATGCAGATCAATACAGAAGATAAAAATACATGACCTATATTTATGTCTGTATTTACATGTATATGCACTCTGATAAATACATGCTAAATTCATGTAAATACAGGTTAATACTGTGTATAAATATATCCTGTATAAATGTACCATGTATTTGCCGACCATGAATACATGCTGAATCTACCCTTGTATTTGCTATGTATCTGTATGGCCTAAATACATTTTGTATTGATGTCTGTATTTGGCATTTATTTTTTTGCTATAAATACACTCTCTGATAGCGCCTGTATTTGTTTCTGTATTTCTTGAATTTATTTTTGCCTTCCTTGTAGGAAACATATTTACCATCAAATTGAATTTGATGTGGATTATGAATCAGTACCCCTCAACTGATACATGTACGTATCATAAAAAAAATAATGCTTTTTCGACGACTTTTTATAATGCTAAAATGCAATTTATAAATATTCATAAAAAAAATGAAGAAATCTCCTGTAAATACTAACTGCCATCTGTGGTCATTCATTTTAGCTTATAAATCTTTTTTAAATGCATGTCTGCGCTCAATATAACAATCTCCTAAAATGCAACCAAAACTAAATAATTTTTCTTTTGCTATAATTTTTTTTTAAATTTCAGGTGACTGCATTGTATGGGGTTTACCTTTAAACACAGCTTGGTCAGTCTTGTAAATAGCAGTGCTAGTAATTTAACTGACTGCCATGATGATGGCTGTCAATTGAATTGTTAAGTTAACTCTGGGATATTTGATTACAAGCACACAAGCAAAAGACATGAATTATATGTTCGGTCATTATAATTTTACTTGTGATTTCCTGTCACTTACACAAGGGCATAAGCTATTAATAGATATACTAATACACTGGTGTTGATAAATGAATAAATTTGTTCAACATCCACTTTTGAGTTATTTTACAATCAATTTTATAATTCATGCAGTATACTCTAAAACTGCCTAATTTCATGAAAGTTGCTGACATTCATAGGACTCATGCATGTCATTAAACTCAGGTAAATTTGACTTTTGCAAAATT